GCAGCCTCCATGCCCTGAGCTGTCTCTCTGCTAGGCTGTATGGTGCCTTCTAGTCCCTTTGTGATGTTCTAACGGCATCTAATAAAAATGCTCTACACAGATGCTCTGTAAATGCAGTTAGCCAGTGCACACTTACCCATGATACCCTTCCTCTTTCCTAGTTATCCAGGGAGTGCCAGCCCAGGACCAGGACACAGGCAGCTTGGAGTATATCTGCTCCTGGTGGCCTGGCCAGTGACGCGTGGTGGACCACGGAGGTTCTGTGCACCAGGCCCTTGAGATGCATTGAGAAGCTATGGGAGCGTGGTGGGCAGAAGACCTGACGTGTGGAGAACAGTCAATTCAGGTTTCAGTAAAAGCTGCGCTGTGGGTGTGAGAGATTTTGCCAGGAGGGCTAGCTAGGGCTGACGGAGCCGGTTGGGGTGAGGGGACATGGGCAGCCCTTCTCTGAAAGGACTGGTAAGCAGAGCAGCAGGCTGAAGGAAGATGCTGGTAGGAGAACAGAAGGGCCTTAAAAATCAGAACCCATGATCCTATTTCTTGAATTTTTGTTTTTTGAAACAGGGTCTTGCTGTGTAGTTCAGACTGCCCTTGAACTCACTAAGTAGCCCAAGCTGGCCTCGAACTTACAGCGATCCTCCTGCCTCAGCCTCCTGAGTGCTGGGATTACAGGTATGCACCACCATACCTGGCTCATTTCTTGAATTTGTGAAACCAGATTGTTAGAACTACAAGAGATGTTAAGATCAGTTTAAAACTCCCTTTTAATCACAGATGTGTAAACAGGCTTGAAGAGGGACAATAGTCTCCTGCTTCACATCACATGGCAAATTACCAAAGGAACCAGTGGGAGCAGACTTGGGGGAGCCAAATCTCAGTGGAGGTGTTTGTTCCCACAAATCCAGGCCTTTTCCCTACAGAGAAAAGATCTTCAACCTTGCCATGGGGTTAATACAACTCACCAGTTTTCAGTGAACCAGCTTCTCATAAAGGAATCCTGGGCTAAGGATGCAGCACAATACTTGCCTAGCATAGAGGCCCTAGGTTGGATGGATTCCCAGCAACACACACACACGAGAGACTTGCCCAAGGCAGGGCTACTCCTGGTCCCAGGGAGGCAGGCTGGGGGGATTCTCACTGCAGACCTGTACATGCTGACCAGGACCTGGAATTGGGGTGCAATGACTCAGATGTCAGCTCTTTCCTGGAAACCCTCTCTCTGGAGAAGGAGGCCTCTTGCATTCCCTGCTGCAAGCCCCTCTAGCTAGTCCTCCTGCAGAAAAGCTGCTCCTAGCAACCTCCTTACAAGACCTTCCCGCTGTCTGCTAAGCAACAACAGGTTGCAGCTCAGAGGCGAGTGCCCACAGCAAAGTGGGAGCAGGTACAAAAATAAACAGAGGGCTTGCTTTAAAGTAGTTCAGACGTGAATCGAGTTTACAAATACAGAAACACATGGGGAGATGTTTGTGTCAGTTCCCACCCCAACAGCTTTGCTCTAGTCAAAATTCTTGGTAGCTGAGTGGGTGTACGTGTGGGGAACGAGGAGAGAGAAATTAGACGGGGGTTAATGTCATATTTTTCTGTTTTCTGTTTCAGCTCACAGAGAAAGAGAGAGATGTGCTACCGCTCCAAAGAGAAGTAGTTAAATTATAATCACAACTATATAAAAATATGTACAAGGAGAAGGGCTTGAAAGCAATATGCAGAAATGAAAATAAATGTGTTAGCCAAGGTAAGATTATGGGTAATTTCCTCCCAAAGCCTTAATCTTGTGCAACATTTTCAATTAAATGTTTCAAGTTTTCAAATTTTTATTTCCTGGTGGTCTAGTTAACCTGGGTTTGTTTGTTTTTGTTTTTTAAACAGGGTCTCCCTATGTAGTGCAGGCTGGCCTGGAACTCACTATGTACCCCAGCCTGGCCTCGAACTCATGGCAATCCTCCTGTCTCAGCCTTCTGAGTGCCAGGATTACAGGAGAATGCCACCAGGCCTGGCTACTTAACCTGATTTTATAAAATTACAATTCCCCCAAATTCTTGTTTGTTGTCTGTCAAGCAGTTTTCAGGATAGCAAACACTGAAAAATATCTAAGCATTTTAGGTGAGGGATTAGACAGACCGTGCTGCAGTCACAACAGTGAGACACAGTAGAGCTATTTAAAAAGGAAGGCAGAGAGCTGAATGTGTGGCTGTGGAACAGTCACAAGCGGGAGTAAGCGAACAGAGCAATCAGTCTAGTCTGGTATGTCTATACACCCAAAGATGGAGCTGTGCATGGGAATTTTCTGGAAGACTTTCAAGTATGTTCTATCTACTGAAGAGAACTGAGGATTTGAGATGAGCGGCATATTCACCTTTCACAGGACATGAACTCCCAGGGTGTTTGAAAAAAATGTACATATAAAATTATAAATACGGTACACTGGTGTCGCTTTCATAACTGTTACTTTCTAGGCAATCTTCTAAAGGTCTTCTTCCTAAGTGGTTTGGAGATGGAGGAACTCAAAGTCCTATTCTTGCCATACATAGAAAACAGACAATCTGATTATGCCTCGAGTTGTCAAAATGTGGAGGCAACGTGTGAAAAAACTAAATATGCTCATCTTTCAGACAGAGATCTGCTGTGATGTATATACTTAGGTGCAGCTGGAGAACTGGGTCAGCCTCCCCCAGGCCTCCCAAATAAAGCAGCAAGGAAATGAGCTGCTTACTCTGCTCTGCGTGGCGGACCCAGGGGTGCTATGAACTTTAAAAGATGTGCAATGCTGCAGGCCCACAGAACCATCTGAGCCCTGGGAATCACATGACCTCCGGAGCTGTCAGCACAGGGCTTTCATTTGTTTTGAGATACATCTTGCTGAGTTGGGCAGACTGGTTTCAAACTCCTGGGCTCCAGCGATTCTCCCACCTTAGCCTCCCAGGTGCCTTGGCTTTTGCACAGTGTTTAACACAGACCGCTCCCTGGCCACTTGGCCCAGATTAGTATTCTAGAGCTTCTAGGAACCAAAATGGTGTGCATGGATTAGAGGACTAACCAAAGGGGGTCACCTGAACATCTTTCAGGCTCTGTCTGTGGGACCTTCTCCTGTACCCCTCTAGCAGGTGACAACCATGTGGCTTGCACTTTATTTTTATTTTATTTATTTATTATTTTTTTTAAATGATGTTTACAAAGACCTTTTTTACTTTTCTGAGGTTTTTTTGGGGGGGGGTACTGGGGATTGAACTCGGGACCTCGTGCTGTGAGGCAGGTGCCAGAACCACTGAGCTAAATCCCCGGCTGCTTGTACTTTAATATTCTTTTTTCTACAGGACACATTACCTTAGTTTTCCAACTTCTCTTTGATCCACATATTTCAGGTTCTAATGAGAAGATGTTGCACTACAAATTCATGAGAAAGGCTGGCAAAATCTGCCATTCCCTCGAGCATCTCAGCCTGAAGGATGTCCAGAGTTACTTAGACCAAATGAAGAACCCAGGTGGCTGGCAAGGCATACCCTCTCTTACAGGGCGCGAAGCTGGCATGAGCAGGCATAACATTCAGTACAGGAAAATGGCAGGAGAGACTCACGGTGTGGGCACTTTGTGAAGATGGCAGATAGAAGACAGATAAGGGCTGGGTCAGGGGCCCCGCGTGTGATGGCCTGATCTAGCTAGCTCATTCTTTCCCTCCAAATATGCTCTCAAAGAAACTAAAAGAGAAATATTTACTTGGTTAAGTTAAAAACCATTTGTGGCTGAGTATGGTAGCTCACACCTATAACCCCAGCACTCGGGAGGCTGAGGCAGGAGGATCACAATGAGTTCAAGGCCAGCCTGGGGTACATAGTGAGACACTGTCTAAAAGTAAAACAAAGGGGCTGGGCATTTAGCTCAGTGGTTCCGGTGCCTGCCTCACAAGTGCAAGGTTCCGAGTTTGATCCCCGGTACCAAAAAAAAAATAATAAAATAAATAAATAAATAAATAAATAAAACAAAACAAAAAAACCTAAAATTAAAAAATAAACTTGCTTTGGGATAGGAGGTGTAGCTCAGTGGTACAGCACTTGACTAGCATGGATAAGGCCATAGGGTTCTGGTTCAATCCCTAGTACCACAGTGGTGGTTGTGTGTGGGGGGGGACTACTCCTGTTTGACACAGTCCCTCATCTTTTCTGATGAACACTTACTCACGTTGTTCCGATCACTGACACGCATACTAAGCAAGCTGGCTCGGGTCTGGTGAGTAAGGCATTTGCAAAGGTTCACATGCGCACACCTGCACCTTTCCCACGCTCTCCCTGACCTCTGATCTATGTCTACTTGAGCCTCCAAAAGCAGCTTGGGGCAAGGAAGGAAGCTCATCTATACCAACCGTGTGCTGCTTTTATCTTTGAAATCAGTGGCCAAAATGATACTTGCGATTTTGCTTAGCTATGCTTTGCCCCATGACCACATGTAAATCCAAACTGGGAAAATTTCTGAGAAAATGTTTTCTCCGTCTTCTTTTGTCAAGTGACCTCAGACCTTTTAGCCTGGGGACCTCTTTCTGAATGGTCTGGAGGGATCACAGGGTGAACTGAATTCAGGAGAATTCCCTTCCGCTTGCCCACTATGTCACTTTGCCCCCAAAATGGGTGCCTTGAGCTTTATGACTTTTCACGTTTTTCAACTACTATTTTCAAGTGTTTCAGTATTTCACTGATTCCTGCTCCAGATTTTCCACAAGGACTGTCCAAGTCTGAAGCCCCAAAGTGAACACAGAATGAAGTGCAGCTCCTGCAGAGCCAGGTGAGAGACCCCTGTCCGATTTCTGCAGGGTCCTCTCTCCCCTGGGATCCTGCATCTAGCCTGCACAGGCTGGACCTGCCAGCCCTCCGGGCGGCTGCTGACTCACGCTTACTCCATGCTTAACAGGACTCCTCAGCCACAGCGCCCCACTGGCCTCCCCGATCACCCGGAGCACTTGCCGCCCTCCAGGGTTTCCCCTGGTCTCCGCCACCACCGGCCCCTGAACCCACCTGGAAGACATCGTTGGCACACTTGCGGCACAGGTTATGCTGGCAGGGCAGGATCACCACGGGCTTGGAGAACATCTCCAAGCAGATGGGGCAGATGAGCTGCTTCTCCAGGTTGTCCATGCTGTGCGCATCCCCTAGCAGCGGCTTGAAACCCACTGTGAAGTTCATGCCTCAGGGCTGGTGCCTGGCCTGGCTGTGGCCCTCGCTCCAGCCTGGTCTCACTGCCTCCGGGCCCTCCCTCGTCACCTTGGACTGTGTGGATGCTCAGGTTCCCTTCTGTTGCTCCCTTTGAAATGGTGCTGCTCTACTTCCTGTCCCTTCCCCTAACAACTGCCCGTCCCTGGTCGTCTCTGACCCTTCTGTCTGTTCTTTCCTTGCCACTCTCGCCAGGCACATACAGCTCTATCCCTCCCTCCCGTGAAATTCTCCTTTTGTTGCCCAAACCACTGTCTCGCTTACTCTGTGGGCAGCACTGTTTGTCCCTCACTCCCCAGAGCGGGGATTAATATTACCGTGGGGGTGGGGAGACAAGGGGCATCTGTGTGACATTCCAACTCCCAATTTAGCTCCTGTAAGGCGAGCCACAGCTGTCACTGAGTGACCCTGACTCACTCACCCGGAGCAGGAGTGGGGGTGAGTCGCTGCTCATGGTGGAAGGTGGAGCAGCAAAGGTGTGGGTCTCTCCCTTGCTGTCACTTGGAAGGTCCTGTGAGCCCCAGCACCCCTGTGCCCTGGCTTGGGCCCTTCCTCCACACAGTGACAGTCCCTAGACCCGCTATGCATTGCTCAGGGCAAGAGGAAAGGTCTGGTCAGACAGAGAGTGACGCTTTCCCCCTCCCCAGGCTTAGCCCGTGACCCTGGCCTGCTCCCCACGCCCATGCGATTCAGAAGAAGGCAGCACAACTAGAGAGACAGCCTCTTCCCTAGACCTCTGGCCTGTTTGCTCTTGCCCACCCCTTTCTTCCGTCCCCTGAGGAAAAGTGGCCGCTGGGCCAGGCCTGGAAGCGATGCCCCTAGAAAGTGTGCAATTCTAGTCCACAAACAAACAAATTGCTGAAGCCACTCCAAGAACTTTAAATTTGTTTAGAAACTGGGAGAAGCTGAGCTGGGCAGAAAGGATCTGAATGCCAGGGGCCTATTTTGGGCATCAGGGTGTCAGTCTTCAGGGAAATTTTAGAGCTCTGACAAAGTCACGGTCACCAGGCTCTGGGAAGCTTTGGCCCCAACCTCACAGCTGTTGGACTCTCCCCTCCAGGCCAGCCTGGTCCCAGATGTGAACCCTGGACTTTCGTCTGTTCCTCCTGTTGGCCTTTTCTCTCTATCCCAGGCACAATTTGTCTTTTTTGGACCCAACCCATGCACTGAAATAGCACAAATCTGTTTTATTTACTGACATTCCCTGACCTTTCTCCAGCGAGGGAAGAGAAGGTGGAGGCATCCCTATTCTCTGGTCCCGAGCAGAGGAGAAATAAATGGTGTGGGGAGGATGCCCAGCAGGCAGCATGAAGACACAAGAGTGGGGAGGGGGCCTGCAGGGTACAGTCTTCCTCCTGCCACGTATCACACCCCTGTTTTAGGGACACACGATACGGTCGTCGGCCTGGGTAGATGTGGTCAGGATGGAGACCAGCGGGCACTGATGCATGGACTGTAGTCCACAGGACCAAGGTGAACACAGGGGCTGCACTGGAACTGACGTCCGGGGAGGGTCCAGGATGGGGTGGCTATCTGTAAGACTCAACTGCACTCACTTCCCAAGCTGGCTCATGGTGGGAACTGCAATGCCCACGGTGTGGCACCAGAAGGTGAGACTGGCCTCAAAAAGGTGTATTGGTTTAGGAACGCAGCCGATGCTGGGAGTTCTTGCTACCCAGTGTTGTAACCAAGGAGGACTAACTGGTATAGAAGCTCCCAGAACAGGATCTGCCCTGGTCAATGACAAGGATCTTGGTGGAGGTACTGGAGGTGAACCAGGTACCTACCTGACATTGGCTCAAATGCCAAGGCAGGCACAGGAAGAGGAACCCTCAGGAAAAGTATGCCATCACTGCCTGGGGGATCACACAGGTAGGAATGGGAGCACTGGTCTCTGACAGGTTAAAATGGGACTGGAGCTAGAGAGAGTAGCTAGGAGACCCCCTATGGCCAGGATCAGGGGCAGGGATGGTGTTCTTACTGGGATGCTCAGCATCAATGCTTTTGAAGTAGGGATTCTTATAAGAAGAGGAATCAAGTTAGAGTCAAGGTCAGGACAGGGCTACTTGCTCCTCTCTTCAGTGTGTTCAGTGGGCTGGGCAGCAGAGGGCACCCTCGCTGGGCCAGCACCTAATGGCAGAAGAAGTTGGCACTGTAGTAACTAGAAATAATCACCTAGAATTTAGGGCAAATCCCCTCTCTATAAGGATATAAACCTCTGGGTTCCATTCTATGAGGATATAAACTTTCCACTAATGACCCATCTGAAGTTAGCTTATTCGCTTCTTAGGCTTATTTATCTATTATTATTTTATTTTTATTTTTTTTTAGTGGTACTTAGGATTGAACCCAAGGTATTCCCGCTGGGCCACATCCCCAGCCCTTTTTTATTTTTTATTTTGAGACAGGGTCTCATTAAGTCACTAAGTTGCCCAGGCTGGGCTCAACCTTGCGATCCTCCTGCCTCACAGCACTGGGATTTCAGGGCTGTTCCACCAACCCCGGCTTTACCCTTTGCTTATTGCTGCCTTTCAGTTTACATACCTCACTCTTCTTCCTACTGCATTAATTATCGTCACTATCTTCATCTGTTCCAAAATGATGTTTTGTCCCTATGATGGAATTATATATATGTTTACATACATGAGCATTTAATAAGTTTTCAGACTACAGATGAGGAAACTGTTATCTTGCAGCTGCTCTGTGGAGCATCATAAGGTGGCACTGGTGTGAACTTCAGGTGACTCTCCCTCCATTTTCAAGTTTTAACTATTTGGGATGAGAATAATCTCAGAGCCTTTCTTTCTTTCTTTCTCTCTTTCTTTCTTTCTTCCTTCCTTCTTTTCTTTCTTTCCTTCCCTTCCTTCCCTTTCTTTCTTTCTTTTTCTTCCCTTTCTTCCTTCCTTCTTTTCTTTCTTTCCTTCCCTTCCTTCCCTTTCTTCCCTTTCTTTCTTTCCTTCTTTCTTTCTTTCCTTCTTTCCTTCTTTCTTTCTGTTTTTTTTTTTTTCAATGCTGGAGATCAAATCCAGGGCCTTGTGCATGTGAGATGAGCTCTCTACGACTGAGCCACACCCCCAGCTCATCTTCCTTTGCAGTAGAGACAATAAACTGCATGTTTGAAACTGTTTTCCACTACTGCCATCTCTAGGAAAGGTGGCCCAGCCCCATTCCTTAGCTTAGCAGTCAGAAGACACCAATGCTACATTCAAACTGCCAGTTCATGGCACAAGGCACTCAGAAATATTATCAATCTCCTTTTCCTTCATTTTGTCCCAATGCCAGACCTGAAACTGTCGTGGTTAGGGGTCTTTCTCATCCCCAACCTTTACTTTTATTGCTAATCCAGATCAGATCTCAGTACCCGCCTTGGTCCTCACCTGAACGAGAAGGCTGTGTCCGGACGTTCTGTTGATGGTTCTTCCTGTTTATCTCCTCCGGTGGCAGATTGAGGGTTCCACAGCAGAAGCAGCAGCAGCAGCAGCAACAACAACAAGTGAGGAGTGCACACAGGAGGACGAGGGTCTAAAAAGTAGCAGAGAGGCCTTGGGCCAGCTTTCGTCTGTATTTCCATTCATGCTCCTTCCCTCCCTCCTCCTCACACCCAGAGAACCTGTCCTAGAAGAGGAGCGTCACCCTCCTTCCTTATTCTTAAGGGACTAGGAAGAGCTGTATACCTTGAACCAGCAACTATTGACTATAAAATAGTATCTAACTCCATCTTCACCAAAGTGATCATAGAGGTATATTCCAAATGAGCCATGTTGGTCATAGATTTTCCGCTTCTTAGGGTCACTCAGTATAGCATGGGCTGTATTGATTTCTTTGAAGATTTCTGCTGCTTGGGGGTTCCCTGGATTCTTGTCCGGATGATACTGCAAGGCCAGTTTCCTATCCAAAAGGAGGATGGGAAGGAATAGGAAATGGCTGGGGGTGGAAGGTGAGGATGAGTGGAGGGACAGGTCTCTAGATAAAGCAGAGGAATGTGTGAGATGTACTACAAAGGATGGAGGAAGCAGCCAAGATCTAACTTTCTTCCTATGCCATAAAAAGGGTGGTGGCCTCTTTTGGTCCCAAATAAAGGCTTCTTGAGATTTAAACATGGGTCTGAAAACAAAATAGAAAGAAAAGGGCTTAAAAGGGAAATTCTAGAGTTCAATCAAGGGCCAGGGGCTGAACCTGTAGGACTTTTTGATGTCTTCAGGTGAGGAACCCTTCTTAAGTTCTAGCACTGCATAGAGGGTTGTGCCACTTTTGGACAGCTGGCGGGCTGCTTCATCCACATGAGACATGTTCTGGGCCAAAAGGACAGGAAAAACATGCAGTGAGTAGGTACAAGGACTGGCAGGATACCTGTGACCAGAAAAGCATTCAAGTTCAAATTTTAAAGAGGAAACATCTTGCCCTCTCATTTCCCAGCATCCTCCAGCTGCCCAGCCCTCCAATCAACCCTCATGCCTAGAGAGGCCTAAGTCAGGAGAGGTTGAAGCCATGGAAAAGCCTGATTTTATCCAGGTTTCCTACAGAAGTGTACAGCCCTACACCTGTCCCTGGTCAGGGTTAGGTTTGAAAAGCTGGGCATCCCCAGCCCCTAAACGGGTTGGGTGAGGAATGGGGAAGAGCCACAGTGGCCAGGGGAGAAACGATTCCGACTGTACCGTGCACTGCCTAAGGAAGTCAGGTGTCCAGAAGCCAGGCGGAGGCCAGGTACTTGCTCCTTCTTCCCCCACCCTCCAGCTCCCAACCTCTGGCCCTCGGGGATGGGGCAGCTGGGACAGCAGAAGCTGCCCTGGGCCCTGAAAGGGGAAGGGGATCCTGCGGGGTAGGGATGGGGGGCGGCCCAGGGATCCGAGAGCACAACCAGAGGACCAGGGCAATGAGCTCGGAGAAGGCGCTCCTTGAGCACTGGGGCCTCAGTACTGTGCCGACTAGGCCACTAGAGCCTGCCCTTAACCTCGAGTCAGTCTCTTAAACCAGGTAACCCTCACACACCTTTCATCCTCCTTGGGTGTTGAAACCACACCGCCAGTTCAGCAGGCCGACTGCGCTTGCGCGCTGCTGCGTAGTAGACGCTGTGGGTCCTTTTTTTGCGCACTGGCGGGGAGGCCCCGTTGGCCCTGGGACTTATTTGGCTCCAGGGAAAGCCTGAGCCCTAGGACCAGGGCTGAGCGTTGCCCCACCAAGGAGGCGCCCTATCCCTCTTCTCCAGTGGGAGGACAGCAGCTGTCCTAATCACACAGGGGCTCTGCAACTCAATTAGGGGAAGACAACAGGCCTGCCCACTTGGCTGCAGAGAGGTATGGCTGCAGCGAGCTTTCTCAAGCCCCATTACTTTCCCAGTCTTCCTCAGAACTTAGAGCTCTCTACGTTGTCCTTTCCCCTCCACCTGGATATTCCTCCCGAGGCTTTGAAACTCAGTCAAATGTCGGTGTTCCTGCGACTCCTTCCTTCTTCCCCTGCCCCCACGCTCCTTGGTCCCACCGTGTCATGTGACCGATTATATTGCGACGATTTGTTGGTGTAACCTCTTGTTTTTTTAAAAAATTTTTTGGCATGTCCTTTTAAATGATATCGAGAGGCTTTCCAGAAGTCATTACTGGGTTTCAGAAACTTCATTCAAACATTATCCCATCGCGAAGGTGGTACCAGGATGTGATTATATAATCCAGGTTGGATATTTACCTTGTTTCTAACTACTTGATAGTATATAACCTTAGAGTGAAAATTGTTAGATATAAATTCTGGAACAAATCTTTTTTTTTTTTAATTTTAATTTTAATTTTTATTTTTTTGAGACAAAGTCTCACTATGTAGTTCAGGCTGGCCTTGAACTCACTATGTAGCCGAGGCTTGCCTCTAACTCACAGTGATCCTCCTGTTTCAGCTTTCCGAGGGCTGGGATCACAGGTGTGCGCCACCACGCCCGAACAAATCTGATTTTTGTCTTCCTGGAAGTGGAGCAATTGTGTTAAATTGCATATTGTGGAAGCTGTTTTATTGCTAGGCTTCTTCCCAGATGGGTACCAAAAGTACCATTGTGCACCCCCACTTGAAGGGCACGGGAGCCTGGCCTTATGGCCTGTTTGTGGTGTTGGTTTCCTTTACAGAGGAATGTTCAATGACTCCTGTATGATGTAATTGAAATAGCTTTATTACTTCAATACTTGTCTGTTAGCCCTGTTGTGGTTTTTAATCACACTCCTGTATTAGAGGCACATTTACCTTGCGTCCTAGGTTTTAAGTGGCAAGTCATACTCCGCCCCAAGAGATGCCAGCTGTCTAAGCAAACAGAGTCCGCATGCAACAGGTATAACGATCCTATAGATCTGTGATCAGTGCAGAGGGTGGGATGAAAGTCTTTGCCATCACTCCCCCTGTCTGTAGGCTTTGGGGTCAGCTGAGTTTCAGGGTTACTTGCCTAAAGAGAAAGAGCTGAAGGGCTGGGGATTTAGCTCAGTGGTTCTACCGCCTGCCTCACCAATGCAAGGTTCCAAGTTCAATCACCAGTACCAAAAAAAAAAAGAGAGAGAGAGCGAGAAAGAGCTGAAGCTGACCATTCTTTGATGGCTTTTTCTTTGCCAGATTTCTCTAGCTAACCTCCGGCCTTTCATCAGCATCCTGGAATAATAGGACTAGAAGAAAAGCCAGCTCATTTCTTCACTGCAGTGGGAAAGGAGAACAGGTGTCAGAAGTGCAGTGCACTTACATCTGATCTCTTACCTCAGTCTCCAAGGCCTAGCATGGTCCTGCCCTCTCCCACTCCAGAGTCATGGAGAACCATGCCCGCCCTGGACTCTGCCTCATTGCTTTGAAGACACCATGTTCCCTCCCTCCTCAAGGGCCTTTGATATTGTTCCCACCACCTGGCAGGCCCCCAGGTGATTCCTGTGGCTGACTTCTCATCCTTCAAGGGTCTCAGCTTTGTGCCTCCCCAGAGAGGCCCTTAAGCTGGGTTCTACTGCTCTCTTCCCACCTCCTGACACCGTCGCTATCATTTATGAATATATATTCATCTCTGTTGATTTGTTTGAGGTCTGCCTTTCCCAGTTGACTGTGAGCTCCATGAGGGCAGGGACCTTGTTTGTTCACCTTTGTAACCCCAGAACCTAGAACTATACCTGGCTACAGTAAGTGAGGTGATGATTTGCTGAGTGCGCTATAGACAAGGTATAACCCTGGCAGTGGAATATAAGCCTGAAGGTTAACCCATAACAAAAATTCTCTGGGAATGGAGCTGGGAATAGGAATAGAACAGGGCCCATCTTCCCTTCTATGATCCTAGACAAGAAGAGGCGAAAATAGAGAAAGAAGATGACAGAAATATCATATGTAATTACGTGACTCTGAGCTCACTCCTTATTTCTTTGTTTTAGTCTTCCTCCAGTTCCCAGCATAGTTCCTGGGATCTTGGTGCTCAATAAATGCTAGAATGAAATGGCTGACTGAAAGAAAAATTCTATGTGTGGCTTTTCAGAGGCACTTTTACCTAATTATCTTGGATTCTCACAACAGCCCTGAGAGATGGTATGATCACATCCCTGATCCCTGGGAAAGTTAGTAAACATCTTTCATATCTTTCCAGAGGCTCCTAAATGTTATTACTACTACTTCTTGCCCTCTGACATTCCAGTTAATCACAGTTCATGGCTCATGAAGTAGCCTTTATCTCTAAGCCTTGTGAGGCTCTGCTCTGAATGAGAGGAAGCTGCAGCCTGTAAGCTGCTGAGTGGGAACAGGGCAGACAAGCCCACCTGCACGCCGTTAACAAGAGGCTTCCATGCTGCCTCCTACTAGAATCACAGCCCCTTTGTTTCTCCGGCATTGGCCTCCACCTCACACCCAGCACGGTTGTGGGAAGAGCACACGAGCCAGGCACCAGAAGACCTGGATTCAGTTCTAGATCTGGCCCTAACAAGCTTTATGATCTTGGTCAAATCATTTCATCTGAGTCTTTTTTCTTTTCTGCAAAGACCTGTGTGATCTCACAGGGTTAATATCAAGACTTAATTAGATTTGGTTGTAAAAAGAATAGAAAAAACAAAATGTGCCAGTGAATGATTACAGATTAAAACATTTTCAGGAACCATTTGCCTTCCCACCACGGCTTGAATCAGTGATTTTAGGGTTTACTGCCACCAGAGCCCCTGGGTCTTTCCTGAAGAAAACTGTGAAACATCCCGTGTTTACTCACTCACGAGTTGTAGTCATATATCTGGAACAGCACTCATATAGGCAGCAGACACTGGCATAGTCATACCTAAAATACCACACTCTGGAACATATGCAGCAGGAGAGAGAGATCATAATTTGTCACACCCAACAATCAAATTCTAGAGTTGTACAGTTTTTGAGCTGGAAAGGACCTCAGAGATTTAACTCCAATCCAGTGTCTTCATTCATAACTGAGGCATGTGCACCCAAGAGAGACCGGTGGATCTGCTCAGGGTCACCCAGTGAGGTCCACTGAACTCCCAGTGAGTTCGGTGTCTACACTGTTACTGTTCTCCCAGTTTATTTACTTATTTATTTATTTATTTATTTTGGTACCAGGGATCAAACTTGGGTCCTTGCGCTTCGCTTGCACAGCAGGCGGCAAAACTGCTGAGCTAAATCCCCGGCCAAATATTTATTTATTTTTGAGACAGGGTCTCACTATGTAGTTCAGGCTGGCCTTGAAGTCACTATATACCCAGGTTTGCCTCAAACTCTCAAAGGGATCCTCCTGCCTCAGCTTCCCAAGTACTGGGCTTACAGGTGTGCACCACCACACCCAGCTCTCCCAATTTAAAATCTAGGTCTAGAGACAGATCAAGGCCTTGAATGACATTCATGTCCTCTAATTGGGTGGTGTCGGGTAATGACCCCCTCCCCCAGCCAGAAGGCACTGATCAGAAACCCTACAGTCAAGTTTTGTCTGTCTGTCCTCCCCAGGTTAGGCATGGGGGGTGGCACTTCCATCTAGAGAGGCTCCTCTCTGCCCTGCCATCCTAGGCACTGTACACCCATCTCAGCTGTAAGCTGGACATAACAGCACCTACCTCTTCAGGTTGTCCTAAGGACTAAGTTCTTTTTTTTTGGTACCAGGGATCAAACTCAGGACCTTGAGCTTACAAGGCAGAGGTGGTGCCACTGAGCTAAATCCCTGATCAGGACTCAGTTCTTAATGTGAGTAGGCCCTAGCACACGATGTGCTTTATAATAATTATCATTAACTATTATTATTATAATAATTCGTTCTGTACTCTCTCCTTTCAATTTTTTTTTTTCCTGGTACCGGGGATTGAATTCAGGACCCTGTGTTTTCAAGGCAGGTTCAGTGCCACTGAGCTAAATCCCCAGCCCTCCTTTCAATTTTATAAAGAGAGAAGTTGCTTTTCGTTTTGTCTCCAGGGAAGGAGGGGGAATGCAGAGTCTTTCCTCTAAGGTTTGCCAGTGGTCACTAGTGTCTTTCCATCCACTTCCTGCATCCTTCTCAGAGCTTCTTAGAATACCGTTTTCTTTTCCCCTACCTGGGGCCCTCATGCTGCCCCCTAGCTGTCCAGAAATTCCTCGAAGTTTCCCCAAGTGTCCAGAACTTCAAAATTACCTCTCTCACTTCCTCTCCTTTTAACACTTCTAACAAGAGCTGTTGCCTCCGTAGATGATTTCCTTCCTAAAGGCTAAGTGGAAAGCAGTCTGGTTAAACCACCATGGTTATTCAGGTAATAGTGAGAAAGGCAGTTGTCCCTCACTCTCTTAATGCTGAGAGAAGAATAACCTGAAGTTTCCAGCAGTGTGACTGACATCGGGCTACATTTGGGTGCAGACTTGGGGCCTTAGACCACGCCTCTCCTCTTGGTTCAGCCCGGATGCAGGGGGCTCTGGATCCTTCTGGCCCTCTTCCTCCATCTCTAGGGACTTCCTGCTTCCCTTGCTGGCTTCTCTTCCTTCTCTCGCCTGCTGACTTCGGGTATTCTGTGCAGGTTGCTCTTTATACTGATGCTTTTATTCTTTCTTTTCTTCTGAGGCCCACCTATATCCTTGCTTCAGTTGTCACAGCTATGCTTTAGTGTCACTCACAGCCACTGTCCCCTTGCCTCACAAC